CCATATCTTTCGTACACTGCATCGCCTGTCTGAAATACGCTGTAGGGTTGTTCCATTCTATTTGTTTCAAGAATTCCCGACAAGGGCATCTATCAAAACAATCCTTTATAAATATCAGTTCTTTAGACTCTTATTTTCATTATATGTATACGAATTAGTTATTAAAATCTGATATAAAAAAATCATGAAATAAAAATTATAAAAACACTATATAACGTGTTTTCTTTTTATAATTTTTATTTTATATATATATATATATATATATATGTATATATATATATAAATATATTATATATATATATATATATATATATATATATATATATATATATTTTTAATATTTTCGTATTAGAATTCATAACAACAAAAACAAAAAAAAAACATTGTCGTTTATTTCCAAACATAAGATACAACATTCGGTTTATTTCAGAAAAAGCCGATAAGTGCCAAGTTGACATTGAATTAAAAAAACTGCTGTATTTAAAAGAAAACTTTAAGAATTTAACTGGCAAAGACTGGAAACCCAATATGAAACCTGAACCAGTACACAGCATCCAAAACGTTACTGGTGAAAGTGATAACGCCAAGAAAGTATTAACCGCTAAAATTACTGAACAAGGAAGTTTGGTTCGAGATTTAAAAACAAAAAAAGCTGGCAAGGTAAGAAGAGTTTATTTCAAATTAAATAAAAACAATATCTAAAAATTAATAAAAATATATATAAATATATATTCAAATATGTATATAGGGTAGTCCTTAAGTAATTGTACAAAAAGAAACACTAGATTCTACACTTCAAAATATTACGATATAAGCCAACTTGATTTTATAAAATGTTGATAATAACAAATATTAGGGGTGTTAAAATGGAAATTTAAAATGTTATTTTTCGCTGTAACTTTTATGTTTGTAAACATTGACGTATAAAAATTTACCACTAGGTGTTCTTAAATAAATATGAGAAATTATAATTTGATGCAAATTTTGATGTAGCTGATAGAGGGCGCCACATATGCCACATATGTGGCATACATTTGCGCTTAACTTATTTGCTCTTCAAGTGAGCACCAGTTTTGTTAAAAAATATAAAGATATATTATTTTAACACAAAAAAGGTATACTTGTTAATAACTTTTGCGATAAAGCACTGAATACCTGTGGATAAGAATAATTAATAGACTATACTTATAAAAACAGCTCAAAAATAGTAATGTAACATTACAAAATGTTTTGTTATGGCTGCTAAATGTCTTGTTAAAGCAAAGTTTCTATCTTCTTCTTTAGGTGCCGTGTCCGTATTCAGACGTTGGCCGTCATCATGCTTACAATTTCCTGAAACCGTTCTCTATCGCTTCTATAAGCTTCTATACTGACGTTGTACAACTTTTTCTTTACAGTAAAATTCTGAGGCGAGCGTCACGGAAGAAGTGCCACGAGTAGCGTCACCAAATTACGGTCTTCCCATCGATCCTTCAATTTGTTTCGAGTTATAAAAGATTTCCGCGGTTAGTACAATGAAACCTAGAGCTAAGATTAATACTATTACAAAAATTAATATTAAACCCACCAGTCTTCCGATGACGCGGATCAGACGCGGTTGAACCGCGTCGATATCCATTGGGCCGAGCTTTCGACATCCTCTCTGATGTCTTCCTCAGGACATCCGAGGTCTCAGTCTCCCGAGCTCCCAGACACTACTACACTTGTCACTATTCACTTCGCTATCACTACTACGGTAGGGAACAGGGGACGGTTCATTTTATACCGTCGATGGTGACGTGGAATTTTGTGACCTGTATGAAGATAGTGTTGACAAGAGCTGAAATTGAATCAGAATTGCGAACAGAAATGGAATCTCAAATATTAATTCCTTGTGCAGACTGTCCCCGATCCTATATAGGCCAAACAAATCCTGAAACTTGACAAAGAGAACCAAAGTGCGGTAATTACTAAAAGAGCAATACTAGCATGGGCAGGATTTAGAAAACTTAGTTGGATACTTTAGAACCGCAAAATACCTCAATACTTGAGGAGCAAAATGTTCAACCAATGCATCCTTCATATCATGACATATGAATGTCAAACCTGGACCCTAACAAAGGCAAACATGAATAAATGAGCCACAACAGAAAGAACAATGGAAAGAGCAATGTTAGGTATACGACTGTCAGATAAAAAGAGGAACGACTGGGTAAGATCAAAAACAAAAGTCGAGGACATAACAACAAAAATTGCCAAACTTAAATGGAGCTTCGCGGGCCACACTGCTAGACAAAAAGACCAACGTTGGAATACTACAATACAACATTGGACACCTTACGAAAGTAAACGACCAAGAGGAAGACCACAGATGAGATGTGTTGATGACATCAAAATATAGCCGGAACAAATTGGAAATATGTTGCTCAGACCGATGGAAGAAGTTGGGAGAGGTCTATTTCCAAACATGGACGATATAATGCTAAGAAGAAGAAGAAGAAATGATTCTGAAAGTTATCTACGTAAAATTTTAATTATTGTATTGATACCCATTAAATTAAATTTTGCTACTAATTTTCTGTAATGACCTTATGTAGGTCAATGTACATCCCCTTTTAATTTGCATACCTATAAAATCTTCGCCGTTGCTCTATTTTTGGCGATGTTGCAATGTGGTGTTTCATTAATTTGCATTTTTAATGGTAATTTCAAGGCAAAATTTGCAATTTGTCCACCTTTCAATAAGGTTGCAATATACCAGATGAAGCCAACGCTAGGGCTACTGCGATCTGATCCAATAACATATAACCAATAAAATAACATTAGTAATGTTTTTCTGTCCATCCTCAGCATCAAGGGAGTAAATTTCTAAATTCTATCAAATGTAAATTGTTATTTAAGTATCGTAGGCAATTTTTTGTTGTTGGTTAAATTAAAGAAAATTTGTATGAACTATTTCGACCAATGTTTCAGTACTAAACTGTTTTACTGAAACTGTATTAAACTGTTTTTCTCTTTTAACCGTTCTCTTAGATAAAGTCACAAAGGATATGAATAACAATTAATTACTGTCAAATATTAATGATACGTCATGAATTTTCTTTCAAAGATATATATATATATATATATATATATATATATATATATATATATATATAATATATATATATATATATATATATATTTATCAGTCAGCTTTCATTCGTCGTGGTAGTTAGACGTGCGTAAGAAAGAAGCTTGTTTTTAAAACCGGTGTTTATAAATTAGATATATAAATAAATATTTCGTGAACTTTAAAAGTAAATTAATTACACTACACAAAAAGCAAAATTCGGAAAGACATTAAAAACTTATGAGTGCAGGGAAAACTTATGAATAAAAAGGGAGGAATTTTATTTACCGACAAAACGACTTGGGACCTCATTACGTATATTTGGAAAATAATTCACCCGATTTTAAAGGCAGATTAAACGCTCTAAGGATAGGTGACATTATTATCTCAAATTTTAAAGAAATCGATGAAAAAATTGTGAGCATTGACGCAGTAGGGAGAAACAAAATACGCATAAAATTTAAAAATTATAAATCGGCCAACTATATAATATCTAAAAAAAATGAAGCAGTATTTACAAAAAATAATTTAGACATACATTCCTAAGTTTCTTGTAGTTAGACAGGGCGTAATAAGAGATATTTCCACAGAATTTTCAGTAGAGTATGTTAAAGATAGAATCAAAATGTACGATTTACACTGTAAATTTGAAGTCATTCAAGTCAAAAGATTAAATAGGAGGCAAGTAGATGAAAACGGTACTCAATATATTCCAACAAAAACATGTGTAGTTGGTTTTAGGTCACAGGTACTACCAAAATATGTAACAATCAACAAAGTACTAAATAAAGTCGAGCCATACAAACAAAAGGTGCTATTATGCTTTAATTGTCTTAGATTTGAACATACAGGGGGACAGTGTAAGAGCAGGGCTAGGTGCGATAAATGTCAGGAATCACACAACTCAAAAGAGTGTAAAACGACCTATATAACTCCAAAATGCTTAAATTGTTCGGGGAATCATTTTACTACAAATTTGAGCGCGTGTCAGGAATTTCAACGTCAAAAACTTGTAAAAGACGCTATGTCTTCCAGTAATATTAGTTATCAAGACGCCAACAGTCAGTTCCCCAGAAACTCCTATGCAAAAGCAACAACCCTTAATACGGAACAAACTACTAACATTTCCTGCCTCAAAACTTTCCCTCCATTAAATCCCAATAATTATACACCCACCCAGCTCCCATCAAATCCAATTAACCAAATGTCAACAAATAACATATTTTACAACAATTCAAATAGTACAAATTCTAGAACATTTAAAAGACAGAGACCAAATAGTCCAGATCCAACATTAATTTTGCGTAATGAAATTATAGCTTCCCCTAGATCTCAATTACCTACGGGAGGAATATTAGACAGTATTAACTATAAAGGAAATATTAATAATAATTCAGTTGCATCTCCTTCAGACCTGAGCATGATAAATTCAATATTAGAATTAGTTATGGAAATTGTCACAAAAGTTTTAGTAACAAAAAGTATAAATATAAATAAGGAAGAACTCGAAAACTTAGTCAAATTAACTATAAATGGAAACACGTCATCACATTCTCAGACCTCAACCATGCAATAAATATTCTTCCATGGAACTGCCGTTCGGCAGTTTCTAATAAAACTAACTTAGAATATCTACTAGATACGGGCAACTACTCCGTTGCACTTCTATCGGAAACATGGTTTAAAGCAGAAAAATATTATAATTTTAAAGGCTTCAACAATATTCGCTGTGACCGGGACGACAGGTACGGCGGCTCAGCCATTTTATTAAAATCAGACTTAATATACCAAAAAGTCTCAATTCCAACTACAATAAACTTTGAGTATACTTGTATCTCGATTAATTTTCCATTTATACATAAAAAAATTTACTTCGTTTCAGTATACTTTAAACCGAGGACTAAAATATCATTACAACAGTGGATCAACTTTTTGGAACAAATTCCAAAACCATTCATAATTGGGGGCGACTTTAATGCACATAGTTTGGCTTGGAATGATGGATATGACGATATCTATGGCAAGATTCTTTTGGAAGCTATCCAACAATGCAACCTAGTAATTTTGAATGATGGATCACCTACACTAGCAAACAATAAGAAGTCAGCTGTAGACTTGACCCTCTGTACACAGGATCTGACGCACCTAATTACGTGGTCTACTTTAGAAGAACCTTATGGCTCTAACCACTTACCAATACACATACAATTTGGAAGGAATAGCCCGCTTGCGCAAATTAAACAGACAAAACATAACATATGGAGACTCAAGGCTGCTAATTGGGATGTATACACCACTACACTTGAAGCTACAGAACCAAAATCATCACTAAGGGGCATTATCCACAATATTAACAAAGCTGCCAACGAGGCAATTCCCTTACAAAAATCAAACACACAAAATAGAAATCATTGTTTAAAAAACTGGTGGAATGAAACTTGTAACATAGCTGCTAAAGCAAGAAAACAAGCTTACTTAACCTACACACATGCTCCAAATCTTAATAATCTAACTGAATATAAAAGACTTGATGCAGTAGCTAAAAAAACTTTCAAAGAAGCTAAGAAAA